CTTGAGCACAGAAAAAGCTTCTCTCTTCCTTCCCATGGGGTGCATTTGAACAAAATCTCCTACTTATAATCGCTTGATTGATTTATATTATTAAATCGATCGATCGATTTGTGTTTGGATATTTTCCTTGAAAAGAAAACCAATAAATAAAAAAAACACCCATGGGAAGCTGTGTTTCGTCGCCATTGAAAGGTTCTCATTTTGGGAAAAGACCGGTAAGAAGGAGGAGCAGTAGTAATAGCAAAACATCCTCTGTTCCTCGTTGTTTCGATTCTTCTCAGACTAATCTTTCCCGGAGATTGTGTTTCCAGCCACCAAGCCGCGTTCTTCCCGAGCCTATTGGAGATGGAATCTTTCTCAAGTATGAACTTGGGAAAGAATTAGGCCGTGGCGAATTCGGTGTCACTCATGAATGTATCGAGATCAGTACCCGAGAAAGGTAAGTTTCTTGATTTTCTTGATCTTGAAAATGTGATTCTTTTTCGGTTTTATGAAAAAAAACACCGGGGCAGGTTTGCTTGTAAGAGGATATCGAAAGAGAAGCTAAGGACTGAGATTGATGTTGAAGATGTGAGAAGAGAAGTTGAGATCATGAGATGTTTACCAAAACATCCTAATATTGTTAGCTTTAAAGAAGCTTTTGAGGACAAAGACGCGGTTTATCTTGTAATGGAGATTTGTGAAGGTGGTGAGCTTTTTGACCGTATTGTATCTAGAGGACATTACACTGAGCGCGCCGCTGCATCTGTCGCTAAAACCATTCTTGAAGTCGTCAAGGTAATGGCAAAAAAAATCTTAATCTCTTTTGTGTCTTGCTAATTGTTTGGTTCTTAATGTTTTTATGGTTTGTGATCAAAGGTGTGTCATGAACATGGAGTGATTCATAGAGATCTTAAACCGGAGAATTTCCTCTTTTCGAATGAAACCGAGTCTGCACAACTCAAAGCAATTGATTTTGGTCTCTCCATTTTCTTCAAACCCGGTACTAATAACATCAAAAAAGTTTGAATCTTTATGTTATTTTCTTGAATAAAAATTTGGATGTTTCAAATGGAATTAATGCAGCTCAACGGTTCAATGAGATTGTGGGAAGTCCTTATTACATGGCTCCAGAGGTTTTGAGACGAAATTACGGTCCTGAGATCGATGTTTGGAGCGCCGGTGTTATACTCTATATCTTGCTTTGTGGTGTTCCTCCTTTTTGGGCAGAAACCGAAGAAGGAATCGCGCACACTATCGTGAGAGGGAACATTGATTTCACGAGAGATCCGTGGCCAAAAGTCTCAAATGAAGCCAAAGATCTTGTTAAGGACATGCTTGATGCAAATCCTTATAGCCGACTCACAGTTCAAGAAGTGCTTGGTAACTTTAATACTAAACATTTCATTATCGAAACAAAAAAAAATTAGAAACATTTCATCCATTGATAGAAAATTTATGTTTTACAGAACATCCATGGATCCAAAACGCAGAGAGAGCACCTAATGTGAATCTTGGTGATAACGTTAGGTCCAAGATTCAACAGTTCTTGTTGATGAACAGGTTCAAGAAGAAAGTCCTCAGGGTATGTATATATAATTTTCTTGATTTCAACAAAGATATTATGAATTACCTTCTCTATAAAATCTGTTACTGATCCGGATATCGGTAAAAAAAATGTTCAGATCGTAGCGGACAATCTACCGAACGAGGAGATAGCGGCAATAATACAAACGTTTCAAACGATGGACACTGATAAGAACGGTCATTTGACTTTTGAGGAACTTAGAGATGGGTTGAAGAAGGTTGGACAAGTTGTTCCCGAAGGCGATGTGAAGATGCTAATGGATGCAGCTGATACAGATGGTAATGGGATGTTGAGCTGTGAAGAGTTTGTGACAATGTCAATACATTTGAAGAGAATGGGAAGTGATGAGCATTTGCATCAAGCATTCAAGTATTTTGACAAGAACGGGAACGGATTTATCGAGCTAGATGAGCTCAAGGAAGCTCTTTTCGATGATAAGCTAGGCCACGGTAACGACCAGTGGATCAAAGATATCTTCTTTGACGTCGATCTCAACAAGGTAAATGTACAAAACTGATGTGTACTCTGGCAAAATTCCATCATTTTATGTTTTGATACTTTTCGATATGAGATTCCTAACATATTGTTGTGATAACAGGATGGACGGATAAGCTTTGATGAGTTTAAGGCAATGATGAAATCAGGGACGGACTGGAAAATGGCGTCGAGGCAGTACTCGAGGGCGTTGTTGAATGCTTTGAGCATCAAAATGTTCAAACAAGATTTTGGGGACAATGGTAATAAAGCTCATTCCATAGAGTTCCCTTTAGCAAGGAAGAAAGCAAAGCTACTTGATGCTCCAAAGAACAAATCAATGGAGCTTGTCCACTCCAAAACATATAAACCCTCAGGGCTAAGAAACTAATGAAGCTTACAAATGAAAAAGATAATCTCTTTGAGAGATTCTCTTTTTTTTTTTTATAATGTGTTTGTTTTTGGTGCTACAAGTGAAAAAAGTGTGATTTTAATGGGCTTAAAGTTACTATTCTTTCATTTTTTTTTGTTTCTATCTCAATCAACACATTTGAAGATTTTTTAAAAAGAGCATAGAAAGATTCATTTATTTCATCAAGTTGTAGCATTAACAATGGTGTCATCATGTAGTGTAATTTTTTTTCCAGATCTATGAACTAGTAAAATATAAAACACTTTCTTGAGATGTGATTTGAATTCAATGTTACAAACATATAATGGTCAAGTAAAGTCAAATACAAAGCAGATACCATTTGCTCCTTTATCTTTCAAACCAGACAACAACAGTACACTGGCTTTGGTTTCACAGAGATTGCCATAACAGAGCAGCAGGTAACAGAAGCCAAAGTTACAATGCGTGTAGAGATAAAACACATGTGTATGTATTCTTTTACACTATACATAAGTAGGAAACTATCACAAATTCTACAATGCCAACCCGCGCGCAGACATTAGAGAATAGGAGGAATTTCACCATGAGCGCGCGCAGTTGGTGTTTTTCTTTGATTGTGTGCATTCTCCAAGTGTTCAAAGAAACTGCTGGATCTTAACACCAGTTCGGGGTTCGTACCTTAATGAGGACTTGAGATATATTATTTAATATTATCAGCTATCATCTGAGTTTCTGCTGGATCCACCAATTCTGGAACTTCCCTTGCCTTTACCTCTTGTTTTGCTACTGCAACCTGTTGATTTAGAGCTTGTTGATTTGCTGCTGCAAGCCGCATGGGAATCTACATCAGCAAGACCGTTCTCCAGGGCTTTCACCAGATTCTCAAAGTAGTTTTTCGTTACGCTGTAAGAATACCAAAAATTAGATATGAATGGTCGTGTACATAAGCAGAATCCCATGTTGAAAGTTTCAACTAGGTCAGGGAGCTAGCTACTTTAGAAAACTACCACATGACCTGATTTTGACTCTTAAACATAACGAATGCTTGACTGCTTTAAAAAAGCAAACTTATATCACGTATCTAAGGTTTAATTTATATTCCTAGATCTGTCTGAAGATCTGAAGCACTTTCTTTTTCACTGTCAAACAACAAGGAGAGAATAGATGTATGAAGACAAAACGCTTACCTGGTCAAACCAGCTAGCTTTGTCCGGAAATCATTGAAATCTTTTGATGGGCCTTCTGCATTAAGAAACTGAACCAAGTCCTTCTCTACGCATTGATGGAGCCTCTCCAAACCAGACTCAGCTTCCCCTGAGCAATAGGAAAATATTTTAGCTGCTTCTGAAGCAATGGACAAAGATATACAAATAAACAAAAGAGGATTCTGACCTTGCAAATACTCAAAAAATTGTCGTTTGGCATGTTCATGATCAGGTAGGTAGTATCCATATGCATATGTCCATTTTAAGACTCGCCTACATTCAATGATCTGCAGCGGTATAATCACATGAGAAACTGTTAAGAAAAATGTTATGGCAAAGCCTCACTTAGTTATCTAAAACGCTTTTATCTGCTAACCTGAAGCCAGGCTTCTAAGATGAATTTGAGCTGAGATTCTGGTGTGCACTGTTTATCACTAAGCTTCTCAAGCTGGCAGAGATTGAGATAAGTCAAATATAGATAACACAATATGAGAAATAGCCAAAAACTTTTACTTTTTCAAACCATTTTCTAAAAACAGAACCTCCCACCCTTTGATATAAACACAATAATTTCAGATGCATACCAATGCTTCAAACAGACACAGGAAAAAATACAAAAGCAAAGGAAAGATGCAGTACTTGCTTTAAGACTAGGAAACATTTGTGAACGTTGCAAATAAATAAACCAAGAGAATTGCTCAGTTTAGTGAAAAGGAAAAGATTGCCTCCCATTCACATCTATATTCATTTCAAAGATGAATATGACTCACTGAGATTAAAATAAAGAAACAAAATTCTAATGAACATAATAACAATTCTTACATTCTGCGTCTGCATTTGCTGCAGATCCGTCATAGCCTTTTGCCTCGACTGCCAAATTACCCAAAAAAAAAGAAAAGAAATCAATAACAAAGACCTATATAACCTCTTATGGCATAAGAATTATAGCAGTGTGCATACCGTTTGATTGCTTGCCCAGCGTTCATAATAATGTGTGTATCTCTCTAGCGAATTTTTTGCCATCTCTCTCCTCCTCTCAGTCTCATCATACTACAACAGGGAAAGATGAACCCATATCAATATCCAGAAAGATCAGCTCAAATGACTTAAATACCACAATAATTAAATAAGTACCCAGGGTCCTACCTGTCCTTCTTGCTTGGCCACCTCGTACCGGTTACAAGCATAAAAACCACCAGTTCTTTCCCCATGATCCATCCATGCACCAAGACAAAGCCTATAGGTGTATACATATAAACATTAGCATTTCTTGTACTTCTTCCGCCACAAAATTATACGGTAAGTCATACTACAACATTGCAGAGATACAGTAACTACTAAACTAAAACACTGTTAGAGATGGAGATGAAGCATTACCAACAAAATTCATATTTACAAGGCGGTGTACATGTCATGTGCATACAGCCCTGATTCTTCTCGATTGGCCGCTTACATCTCGGACAAGGCTTAGAATTGGCAAGTATCCTGAGCATGCGGAGGCAAAGTTTGATTAGCAAAAAATATAAGTAAACTGACGATGCTACAGAGCTAGTGAAATATATTTTTTCTCAATATACGGTGAAGAAGGCCAGAGATCAGGGATCCGGAACACAAATTTAAGAAAAAAAGATACAGATAAGAGTGTATACCAATTCATATTTTCAGACTCAGCGCTGTTCTTTAATATCCATTTTGAAACTGTGCTACAATCCACAGGTCGGTGAGCCTCCTCGGTGCACTAAAATTCAGATTTATCACAACGCTATGGATCAACCAGAAACATTGAATATGAGGAGAGACCATATTAGTGGGCTTTTAACACAATAACTTACATTCCAGCAAAAGCTAAACGAGCACAAGCAGGAGACATCATAATTTCCAGACCCGGCAGAAAAATCAATCGCAAAATCACATCCCGGGGCAGGACACCACTTCATCTGAACCAAATAACCGAAGCAGAAGCAACATCGGGATTACAAACATCGTTTTCTAAGAGTGAATATGGAGAGAGACTAATATGGTTTGTTACTTTGCTCAACCCAAAGACATTGAAAGAAAGTTCGAGAATACTGAAAAAACAGTACGCAGTCATGAAAATGAACAGAATCTTCCAACATCACTTGGAACATACTACAAAGCTAACTTCATTTTAAATTTTAACCACTCCATGAAATAGATAAAACTCAGGGTGCTCAACAGAAATAACCCAATATTCCTCAACTGTAAAATAGTGGTAATCAAAGGACAAATAGGAGTAAGGAAAAACGTTTCAAGAATGATATGATATCTCAATAGAAAGGGTTACCAAACAATGCCTAGAATGCCATAAAATTAATGTTAAAAAGGACATTTTGATCGCAAAGATAAAAGAGCGCAACATCAACAATTAGCATGGGTGTTGAACTATGTATTTTGATGTAAATTATCTAAGCAGCCTTTACCTTTCTGTTGTCTTCTATATAAGACCTAAGAAAATATCTATTATACTTCTCCTTGTCTTCTTCAGACGCTAATTTGTCAACCATATCATGACCAACAGCAGCAAGACAAGATGGGTCAGGACATCTTAGCATCAAACATCCAGGGCCATCATTAATGGTAGTGCTGATGTAACCTGCAAAAGCGTACATTATAAAAAGGTAAGTTAACATTCAACAATTACTGTAATAGAAAAGTGGAGCACAAAAGTTGGTTTAAAAAAACTCAAAGATGGAAGATTAATCCAATATATTAACTAAACCTAACTCGGATAAATAAAATGAAATAAAATAAAAGTGTGGTTCCCATTTTTTGATAAAACTAAAGATGTTTAAGTCTTGAGGATGCTATTGACAAAAAGAAAATACAACTGACCTGTCCAGCATGTAGTACAGAAAGGATGGCCACAAGAGACTGAAGCGATTTTCTCAGGAGGGTATGAATCGAAACAGATTCCACAGGTAAGCTAAACACCAGATCATGGGTCAGTGAGACATAAATTATCAAGCTAGAAATATGTAAAACCACTTCACATTTTTCATTTCAACAGACATACTTCTCTGTCATCAGATGGTGTAACAACAGGACTCTCCAATATGCCAACAGTCTTCCGGACTCTCTCTTCATCCGCAAACCATTCATCATGAACTTTACCAACACTCCTGAAACGAGAAGTTTCTCATCGTATCAGCAAGCTAGGATAATCACACAAGTATGACCATGGAAAAGACGAGAAACACATAATGTTAATATCAAACCGTAAATGTCAAAGGCGTTTACCAGTGATAGTGACGAAGCAGAATACTCGCTTCTACTTCAGTTATAGAGAGGACAACGGAAACTCGTTCAATATCATCCATTTGATGTCTGCGAATATCTTCTTCCCTCAGAACACAATAATTTTTCTGGAAAGATGCCATATTACAAACAGTAATGAGTCAATGATCACAGAAAAATAAGAGTAGATGTTGAACTATAACAACAAAGAGAAATGCCCATCATACCACCGAGCAAGAGAGACTTAAAAGCTCTAATAGCCAAGGACCAATAAACAAACATTCACCGAATCAACTATGGCCTAAGATGAAAAATGCAAAAAAGATCTAACTTTAGCAATTATCTTTCTCATTGATAAAAAAAAATACACAAATCAAACTCAAAAAAACGGCAACAAATTCCATAATTTGAACAGTTATAGCCTTCTAGCTATCAAATATAGCAATTCTTAAAACATGCACAATTTCTAAAAGCAATAGCTACCACATCAAACAGTAACTGAGCAAGAAATCAAAAACCCACCAGAGAGCGATGCGAGGCGATCATGGCGGAATCATCAGCGTCTTCTTCAACAAACCCGTAATCGGGTTCTCCATCGTCACTATCGTTGTAATCATCGGTTCCGCCGCTGTAGAAATCATCCTCACCCGATTCCATATCGTGCGCATCGAGCATGTCTTCTTCAGAATCCATGATCAGAGGAAAACCCAAGATCAAAAACCTTCAAAAAAACTCGAGATTTACAGGAATCAGATGAAACCCCTTTCCTTTAAATTAGGGTTTGGGTAAATTTTCGTCGGAGAGGAAATCGAAGAATTTATGGGGAAATGAGCAACATAAATGGAGATTTTGATGAGAAGAGTTTGGGATAAAAGAATCAAAATTTGGGATTTTGATGGAGAGAGAATGAGAATCTATGGAGTCTAGATCGTTTGGGTTTGCGATTACTGGAATAGAGTGTAGACTTATATCACTTGCATACTTACTTTTTTAATTTTCATTAAGACAACCAAAAAAATCTAACATGTCTCTCAACAAACGGAAATGATTTTCTTTTTGCTTTACTTCTAGGATAAAAAGTAACAGAACTTGTAATCAATTTTTATTTTATAAACAGAGAAATCTTCTACAGTATATATATTAAAAGAAAAATATTTTTGACCACTTTTGATGATCTGTTCACCACAAATTTTCTTTAACCTTTTTATTATTGATTTCTTTAATTTAGTTATACTCATTGCCAAACACAATTATTTTCAAATGTTATTTTAATTTCAATTGCCAAACACATTTGAATATTCTCAAACTTACCAAAAATAATTATTTCAAAAATCTTCTATATCTTAAATATATTAAAATCTAAACGAAAATTAAATAAATAATTATTCTAAAAAATTATATATTATTTTTTTTCTTTTTTTGCTTTTAAAAATATATGTGAGAAATACAAATTTATAGAGAATATTATAGTTCGTCCTAGCAAGTTCTCTCAGGCGAAGCCCGAGACGGCCGTCAACGACAACTCGACCACCATGAACCTCCAGCGCTCTTGCCGGAAACTCTGATCCAGGATATCGACAAGCAATGCGTTTGGGTTCTTTCCACCATCGACCCAATAATCTGCTTGCTCCTCTCGCCGGTGTGCCTCTCGCCTCTCTCGGCGTGGCTGACGTCTGTCTCTCGCGTTCCTCGGTGAGTCCTTTAGAGATCTTGGGCGTACTCCGGTCTGCTTGCTCCGTCGCTCCTCCTCGAATCTTCGGAACGACAGTGACAGTTATGGCTAGACCTCCTCCTCCACCTGATCCGCCTGACCCTTCGGCACCGTCGAGCTCGGTCAATCACCACCTACTGCTATTAACGACGAAACCTCTCGCAATGACGAGGCCATCCTCCGCGGTCAAGCTCCTTCACTGTCGCGATTTGAAGCCTTGTCTCTCTTCCAGAAACGAGATTTTGACAGCTATTCTTGCCGGCCAATACTTCTGCTCCGGCATGGGCTTTGTCGTGGGTTCGGCTTCGAGGCTCCGTTCACCCTTCCCGCGAGGATTTGCTATTCCGATAACCTGCTGGCTGCTCCGCCCGTGAGAGACGGTGTTTCAATCATGTGGTCGAGTTGTTCCGATGAAGAATTAGCGCTGGATGAGATCCCCACTGTCGCTACTCCGGAGATCGGAGAACCTATCTTGTCGAGATGTTGCTGGATCTTATTACCGGTACACGACGACGACAACGAGATCTGTGATGTTGAAGTTAATGGGCCTTTGATTGAATTTTATGGGCATGCGAACAAGTCTGAAATTGGTGGGTGGGCCTGGCCCAGATTTCTATAGGTACCAGTTTCAATAATTTAAGCCCAACAGCTTATCAAGTCTTGTCTCTGCATAATTGGTATAAGACAACCCACGATTTACCCATGCAAATTTGTACCATCTTTTTTGTCGATTTAGACATGTTGTTAGGAGCTTGTTAAAATTGTTGTCCTCCAAATCGAGCCTGGAGAGACCAATTCACCTTCACTGTGCTTTATTTCATCACTCGTCGAGATCTATATCTCCTCGTGAGAAAGGGTCAAAGTTTTCTGGGTTCTCAAACCCTGTAATTTATTCCCGGTGGAAGAGTCTAATTCCACATTTTTCCATCTCTTTGAGATTGGTCGACTCCCCGAGCAGTATGCCGGGCAGTCACAATGTAAAGTGACTACCCTGAGACTCTCCGGCTTTATCTTGACGCATCCGAGACATGTCTTGGATACGTTGTCTATCTTCTACGATGATCTATCTGCCTTATGTTTTATCGCATTTCATTTATGTTGTATTAATGTTCGAGGAAGTTTAATTTTCTCCTATTGTACTCTGATCGTTTAAATTAATGAAAAGCTTGTTGCCAAAAAAAAAAAAGAACTACAAATTTATAATAGATCTCAACAGCAAACTATCAATTTCAGTTAGTTCGGTTCGATTTTGTATAATTTGAGTTTGGTTCGGGTGATTTAGTATAGAAGTTGTTATACCAATTCATACATTATATAATTCGATTCGAATTTGGATTGGTGAATTTTGATTTGATGGTACGATTCAAATATTTTGTTTATCATTTGGTAAAATAAATTCTTATATAAAATAATCGCAAATTCAGATATAAACAAACGAATCTCAAATTTCGTATAATAATTTTTTACATTAATTAAATTTGTATTTTTAACTAAAACTATCGAATTTGAATAATAATTCCCATATTCACTCTGATTGGTTTTTAACTAAAACTAAAACTATACTAATTTAACATAATCATTTATTTAGAAAGGTTTCCTACACACTTTAACTTGTTTAGGAAGGATTTTCACTTGTTTAGGAAGGCATTCCTAAACTAGTGAATCTCCTTCCTAAACTGGTGAGAAATCTTCCTAAACTTGTGAGAATCCTTCGTAAACTGGTTTTGTAGGATGATTTCCTACATAATTAGGAAGTCCTTCCTAAAAAGGTGAGAATCTTTCATTAACTAGTTTTTAAAGAATGTTTCCTTTATTTTAGGAAGTTTCTTACACATATTGAAGATCTTCCTAGATACGTCAGAATAATTATTAATTTTTTTTTACGAAGGTTCCCTAAATATTTGGGAAGGCCTTCCTAACCTAGTGAAAACTCTTTCTAAACTAATTTTTTAGAAATGTTTCCTATACATTTTAACTTATTTAGGAAGGAGATTCACTAGTTTAGGAAGGCTTTCCTAAACTAGTGAATCTCCTTCCTAAACTTGTAAGAATTAATCCTTCTTAAACTAGTTTTTAAGGATGGTTTCCTACATAATTATGAAGTCTTTCCTAAAAAGTGAGAATCCTTTGTAAACTAGTTTTTAAATAATGTTTCATTTATTATAGGAGGTTTATTACATATATTAGAAGGTCTTCCTAAATACGTCAAAATAATTCTGAAACTTTTTTTTATGAAAGTTTTGTAAATATTTGGGAAGGTCTTCTTAACCTAGTGAAAATCCTTCTTTAACTGGTTTTTTAGCAAGATTTCCTACACATTTTAACTTGTCTAAGAAAGATTTTCACTTGTTTAGGAAGGCATTCCTAAACTAGTGAATCTCCTTCCTAAACTAGTGAATCTCCTTTCTAAACTTGTAAGAATTAATCCTTTTTGAACTGGTTTTTAGGATGATTTCCTACATAATTATGAAGTCTTTCATAAAAAAATGAAAATCTTTCGTAAACTACTTTTTAAAGAATGTTTCCTTTGTTTTTAGGAAGTTTCTTACATATATTAGAATGTCTTCCTAAATACGTCAAAATAATTCTTAAACTTTTTTTTATGAAGGTTTCGTAAATATTTGGGAAGGTCTTCTTAACCTAGTGAAAATCCTTCCTTAACTGATTTTTTAGAAAGGTTACCTACACATTTTAATTGGTTTAGGAAGGAAATTCACTAGTTTAGGAAGACTTTCCTAAATAAGTGAAAATCCTTTCTAAACAATCAGTTTGAGAATCATTCCTAAACTGATTGTTTAGGATGATTTTCTACATAATTAGGAACTCATTTTTAAAAAATTCAGAATCCTTCATAAACTATTTTTTAAATAATGTTTTCTTTCTTTTAAGAAGTTTCTTACATATATTGGAAGACCTTTCTAAATACGTCAGAATAATTCTTAAATTTTTTTTTTATGAAGGTTTCCTAAATATTTGGGAATGCCTTCCTTACCTAGTTGGGGTTGATAGCAAAGAATTTAAGGATAATTAGAAAATAACAAAAATTACAAACATAAATTAAATGAATGTTTTATTTTTGGTTAAAAAATAAATGAATGTTTATTTCATTTATTTTGTTCAATAAACTTTAGGGAAAATTGACAAATATAACCAAAAAAAAAATTAAAACATAATATTAACCAAAAATTCTAAAATTAGTGACTATGATTAGTGTCACATAGGAAATTTTGCTTAG